AAAAAAAAAAAAAAAAAAAAAAAAAGGCAGGATGTCACTGCCTTTGTGACTGCATTGGCTTCCACCCCAGGCACTTGAATCTTTGGGTCCCCCATGCCAGTCAACTGGGTGTTCAGGGCACGTTCTCATCATGAGAAGGGAGACCTGCAGCCCCCTTACAGGACTGACAGAGGACCTGGTCTGGATTAGGCCCTTTCCTAGCCCTGGAGATACAGCAGTGGGTGAGACAGACAAGATCTGCCCTCTTACGGTAATAGGCCAATGTGATGAACAGGTGTGCAGGACCAAGAGGGCACTCCCCTGACCCACCTGTTTCCTTGCCATACTTCATCCTCTGGGAACAAGTCTGCTTGTTTGGTTTGAGGGGAGTTGGTTTGGTTCTTATCCCTTAGCACTGAGACATAGAGGCTTCCTGGACTGCTGTAGTGAGACACCAACTTCAAGAATCTGAATACTCGCTTTCTCTCCCTGCAGAGCAAAAAAAGCCTTAGTACTGCCTGTGGAGAAGGAGGTGCAGAACTACCAGGCCCTGCTGCTACTTCTTTACAGCCCTCCCAGACAGACACAGGCACTTCATCATACTCAAACTGGACTTATCTTCTAGGCACTTTCCCTTCTCCATCCAGAAAATGGAGTTATTTTGTCTTATTTCAGCAAGTCCAGTTGATTTTACCTTTGAAATAGCACCTGAGTCTTTCACCTTCTTTCCATCCCTGCTCTCTCTTGCCTGGCACGGGTCCCCAGCACTTCCCTAGTAGGCGGGACAGCCATTCCTTGGGATGCACACATCTAGTCTTTGCCTAGATATAACAGGTCTTTGCCAGCTGAGCTAGGCTGTTGTGTTCTTAGAGGCATTGTTTTTGTCCACTCTTCCCATTTATTATTTATTTATTTATTTTAAGATGGAGTTTCACCATGTTGGTCGGGCTGGTCTTGAACTCCCGACCTCAGGTGATCCGCCCGCCTTGGCCTCCAAAGTGCTTGGATTACAGGCATGAGCCACCACGCCCGGCCATATTCTTCCCATTTATAAGTGAATCAGATACCACAAAAGTGAGGGCTCGTAGCCCCATAGGTGATTAGTCCGGGGACCAGAGATTTGAGTGTGTTTATTACTTCGCTTTTTGGGGACAGATTCCATCCACAGACCCATGTGTTACCAAGGTCTGACTCACTGGGAGAGAAACAGGGTGAGGTTGGAAAGCTGACCTTCCAGAGACTTGGGGCCCATGTTGTGTGGTACACATGGGAGTCAGCTTATCAGATTGAGATGGGGGGGCTCAATCTGATAAACTGACTCCCATATGTACCACACAACATGGGCCCTAAGATGGGGGCAGAGTGCCGTGGTCTGTGCCTGTGGGGCCATCCTGAGAAAGGGAGCTTCTGACAAGCTGACTGCTCCCACCATCTTTGCTGCAGCATATCGACAAAGTCTTCAAACACAAGGACCTGCAACAGCAGCTGGTGGACGCCAAGCTTCAGCAGGCCCAGGAGATGCTAAAGGAGGCAGAAGAGCGGCACCAGCGGGAGAAGGATTTTGTGAGGCTCAGGCCCCAGGGTTGGGGTATGGGTGTGGGAGGAGGTAGGTTGGGCTCTCGCTCAGCTTATAGCCGGGTTGTATGGGAGTTGTCGTCTGCCCAGACAAGGCACAGATTCCTTGAGTACCAGTCTGATAGCAGGAAGCCTCAGTGGGTCTGATGCTTGTGGCTAAAAACCAAACACAGCCCCTGGGGGCTTCTGACAGGATCTGGGATTCTGTCTTGGAAATAGCTCCTGAAAGAGGCAGTAGAGTCCCAGAGGATGTGTGAGCTGATGAAGCAGCAGGAGACCCACCTGAAGCAGCAGGTGAGAGTGTATAACCTGACCCTGTGCCTTTCAAGTTCCCCTCACTGGGCCCCATCCTGCAGGGAATGAACTGGGACCCTCATTCTAGGACTGGTTCTGTGCTGGCTGCTCTGAGACCTTAGTTGATCCTTTGTTCTCTTTGGACCTGCACAGTACCTATGTGGTGGTGACCAGGTAGTTGGGTGAGCTTAGAGAACTTCATTTGTAGCTCAGAAATGTTGTATTGCTTTTGAGGAGGTGAGAACAGAAGAATTTGAAAATCAACATAAAGGAAAATAAAAGTCACCCTAAATCTACTTTCCAGGCTTAGCATTTTGGATTACATCCTTCCAAATATACATCTTTGCTTTATTTTAAGGAAAAATAGTATCTCAGTAGAATTATTGGCTCAGAGAGTCAAGGACAGGTCTGAGTGTGTTGACCAGAGTGCCTTCCAGAGAAACCCAGTGTCATCTGTGGGCTACTTTCTCCACCAGCTTGCCCTATATACAGAGAAGTTTGAGGAGTTCCAGAACACACTTTCCAAAAGCAGCGAGGTATTCACCACATTCAAGCAGGAGATGGAAAAGGTAACGGTGGGCCAGGCCAGGCTTGGCTGCTGGGGCATAAACTGCTTCATTCAGAATGGTTGGGCCTGCCTTCAGGAAGTTCCCGTCTGGAGTGTCTCAAGGGTGGGGCTTCCCTTGCGAACCCTCAAAGGGTGGGGGTCACAGCCTTTCCTCTTGAGGCAGTATCAGTGGTATGTATACCCTGAAGGTTGTCCTAGGAAATGGAGCAGTCTGAGTTCTTTTTTTTTTTTTTTTTTTTTTTTTTTTTTTT